TGTTCTTTCTTATCTGGCCTTTTGAAATGTTCTATTTGGAGCATTTCTCTTGGAATTCATTAGCTGTTAAGACAATTGCATTCAGGCTCCTGTTTAATGTGTTGCTTAATGGAATATAATTGTTAAAATGTACTGAGATGATGGTAGCTCTCTCTCTCTCTCTCTCTCTCTCTCTCTCTGCATTTCTTTGTTGGCTGTCAGTTTCCTCTCAGCATTGTTAACTGTTTACCTGTTTGCTTTGTGTAACATGTGCAGGGATTTGTGTGAAAATGTTCAGTCCCTTTGTGCTCTGTTAGCCAAAAGCAGTGAAAAAGATAGGGAGGGTTTGTGAGTATATTTCGTAGTCAAGGCTAATGGAAGGTATATATTGAACCCAAGGTACTTGAAAAATACAGTAAGAAGGAAAATAGGCAGCACTAATTATTTTCCTCTCTTTGCCTTGGAATAGAAATGCTTACCAAGAGGGCTGGAGTGTCTGTGTGATACTTTTGTTTAAAAGGTTTATTTATTTTTATTGCAAAATCAGATATACAGAGAGGAGAGACAGAAAGGAAGATCTTCCGTCCATTGATTCACTCCCCAAGAGGCTGCAGCTGCCACAACGGCTGCGCCAATCCGAAGCCAGGAACCCAGAGCCTCTTCTGGGTATCCCACATAGGTGCATGGTCCCAAGGCTTTGGGCCATCCTCAACTGCTTTCCTAGGCCAAAAGCAGGGAGCTGGATGGGAAGTGAGGCTGCCAGGATTAAAACCAGTGCCCATATGGGATTTGGGCTCATGCAGGGCAAGGACTTCAGCCAATTGGTTACCATGCCGGGCCCATCAGCATGACAATTTACAACCTCACTTAACAATCTCCATCTTGAAGCAAAGGTTGTACCGGTGGGTACTTAGACCTAGTGTGTGGAGCACCACAAGCACTTCCTCCTTTGAAATCATGGGGCACATGCAGCCTGGAGAGTGCTTGTGGAAAGTTTCAGAACTCATTACATGGCTATATTGTGGTTTGCGGTGCACCTAAGAATATTGTATTAGTGAGTTAAACATCTGTTATAAACTCTTGGGGCAACTTTTATTTCAACTTTATAAATATAAGTCGACATGAATTTTTATAAAAACTCACAGTCTCTTTACTTCCTACTTAACATTAAGGTTTTTATGTAGAGCGCAATAGGTCTAAGCAGAGACTTGCCTTAGAGACATGCAAAATGTTGTGTAACCCAGTTTCTCCTTAAGCTGCAAGGAACGGAGAAAGGAGAGCTCAGAAAGAGGGAGGGCTAACATTTCCTCTTAGTGAAGTCTAAGACTAGTGAAGAGAACTGAAAATATAAATTGATATTCTGCAAGTGGCAAATTTACAAAGACAAGGTCTTTTCGTCCACATATTTCAGGCTTGTGTGTCTGTGTGAGTTTTAAACCTGTCATGTTGCTGAAACAGGTGTTGCTACACCCCTGTCCGTGATTAAGAAAAGTAAAGCTGGGTCATGGGCTGTCTCATGTTTCCACTGTGATGGAAACGTGGAGTGCAGTGGGTCTCCAGCCCTGGACGTAAGGTCTGACGTTCACTGCGTTGTTCTCTTTGCTTTTCTCTGATCCTGTCCCTTTGAGCCTGGAGACTGTGTGACTTGGTGCTGGAGTGATGAAGGGGACAACACCAAAACAGTGTGGCCGTGAAAGGGTGGGTGTGGACAGACCTTCCCACAAATTAAAAACCACCATTAACCGTTCTTCTAGAATTTTGCAATTGAGGTTTCCACATATTCTTGCCTCTTCTGTGTTTTCACTGGAGGCAATGTTTACCATGGTCAGACCCATAGCAAATGACGGCTCATCCTTCTCTCAAAACACAAAGGGGAAAGAGTGTCTGGGTGGCTATTTAGCTGAGCAGTCGAGCTGCCACATGGGATGTTAACATCCCAGCTCAGAGTGCCTGGGTTCTCGTCCTCACTCCCCTCCTGATTTCATCTTTCTATTTATGTGCAGCACTGGAAAGCAGTGCTGATGGCTCAAGTACTGGGCTCCCTGCCACCCACATGGGAGATTCTGATTGAATTCCCAGCTGCTGATTTAGCCTGGTCCAGTTGCCCTGGCTGTTGCAGGCACTCGAGGAGGGATCCGGCAGACAGGAATACTCCCACCTATCTTGTCATGTGTCTCTCTTTCTCTCTGTCCCTCAAATAAAAATACCAATTGTAAGTGATGTATATTGTTTGCCTTTGGCCCAGTCATCACGAAAGAATGACTTAAGAAAACCCTAGTCCCAGATTTCTTTTTCTTTCTGTTTATACCTGAACATGAACCTTTCCCATTTTAAATACTGTTGAAAACATTTTCCTTGTTTTTGCAGCATTTTGCTGCATGATGCAGCACAGTTTATGTAAATCTTCTGTTTTGGATAATTCAGGAGGACCCTAGACATCAACTCTTTAGTACATTGTAATAGGTATTTCAATCAGATAAATACAGGGTTGTTTTTTCTGAACTAATACTCTAGTGATATTAGTTGGGCCTTCAGATGGAGAAAATGAATAATGATGGTCTGTGAAAGGGATAGATATGGAAAGTATGTCATTGGTATTCAGGCCAGAGAAGTTTTTTGTTTGTTTGTTTGTTTGTTTGTTTTTTGGCTAATATTTTATAATATCATAAAAAGATGGTGCAATGGCAGTAGTCTTAATGTGGCAGACAAATACATAATTGCATGTATTTAAGATACCTGAACTCCATCCTTAAATAATCATCTTTGCATAAGAGTCTATGCTTCATTGATTAGCTTGGGTAGTTTTCATAGATTAGTTTATGTGTATTTTGAGTTTGAGCCTTTTGATTATTCACATAGGAAAGGGCTCACCAAATGTGAACAAATTAGTAGAAACTGAGGAGCCAAATTTGAGATTCTTCAGCGCTTATTTGGTGAAACTACATTTGTCCCTCTTTATCTGAGGGAGTTTGTTTCTGGAGTGCTGTAGACCCCCAAATCCTTAAATGCTAAAGAACCTTCTATAACATAGTATGGCCTTTGCATAAACCTCTCACATATACCAGGTGTATTTTAAGTCAACTCTAGCCTACCTAGAGCACCTGTTACTTTATAAATGCAATGTAAATAGTAAGTATCTTGTGTTTGGAAATCATGATAAGGAAAAAAGAAAGCCTGAGCATTATAAGTTCAGAGTCAACATTCTTAGGCCTAACTAAGAGGCTAGTGACAAAGTAGCATTTTTTTAAAAATTATCACTTTATGATATAGTGCAATAGGCCCTAGGATTTCCTTTAGCCCCTCCCCAATTCCCTCCCCCCCACTGAGTTCCCCTATATCATTACTATAGTATAGTTCTTCCTGCACAGTCATATGTCCATCATTGCACACATGGACAATGGCAGAGAGTCCAGCATCCTATTGTCAAGATATAGTAAACAGTTTCGTTGGGAGTCCATCTTTGTCTGGAAGTAGGGATGCATACTGTATTGTATCCTCACATCTGGATATAATAATCTTCATTACACAATTAATATACATCCCCTTAAATGAAAAGTCACAAAACAAAATCAACAATAGGAAGAAAAAAAAAAGAAATTAACACCATGAAGTTAAATAACATGCTACTGAATGACTAATGTGTCACTGAAGAAATGAAAAAGAAAATCAAGAACCTTGTCGAAGAAAATGATGCTACTCTATGATCTATGAGTCATTAGAGAATGTAATGAGAAGAAAGTGTTTTGAAGAGGTGAAACTAACAAACAAAAATCAAAATCCATGAGATATAGTTTCTGCTGATCTTTGTTGGCGAAATATCTCTTGTAGGCAACAAATAGATGGATTTTGTTTTTTAACCCAGTCTACTAATCTATGGCGTTTGATGGGTGAGTTTAAGTCTTTTTTTTTTTTTTTTAATACTTTGGATCTGTGGAAGTGTTGGCTGGATCTACAAGGGCAACCATCAGTTCCCTGTGGTTCTGGGAGGTGAGGTCGGGGAGTAGTGGTGGTTGTGGTGCTGGTGGTCTCTGACCTCTTGTGCCTTCTCACTTCTCCATCCTCTGCCTAATGTCCAGGCGTACCAGGTGACCATAGGCCAAGCTTGTTTTCGGTTCTCTGATGTTTTTTCTCTCATGTTCAGTTTCTTATTTATGCATTTGATTAGGGCCTTTTTTCTACCCAAGCCTTTTCCATGTGGCTCTCACCAAGGCTTATGGTTTGGGAAAGGTCCATTGTCTCCACTTGTCTTTGCTATTCTTGGTTAGCAGGAAGTCTCTGATTTGATCTTTTCCCAGGCACTGACTGGGAAGTGACCCCTGTTAAGTCACTGCCTTAATCTTTGGTTCTCAGGCTAGCTCAGCATAAGACAGAGTTCTAGTTTCCCTCTGGAGAGAGGCATGTTTTGAGGGAGAGGATCATTAGGGAAAAATGGAACTAGGAAGTAAAATAAGTTTAAAAAAAACTAAAATATATTCTTTTTACCTTAAAAATGCTTAAAGTATATATAGTGACCTACTGGGCAGTAGTTTTGCTCCGTTAACTGGGGTAGATTACTCTTATACTATTTGTCCACACAAACCCCAGATGTCCTCAGGGAATTGCCAGTTAGTTATTGTAATGCTGTCTTGAAACTAACAAACGTAATCTATCTGATGTTAAATAAAGGCTAGAGAATGGCCATCCTCCTGGTCCCCAAAAATAAAATAAATGAAATGGAGACCTCTGCGGTGAAGGCAAAAGGTTTCTTCTTTTCCCAATCTATGGTGAATAAAATGTGTGAGCTTGTGGGAATCTGACTTGAGTCAAGTCCAGGGATGAAGTCATGCCTAATGAATTACCCGTCTCTGCATTCTTTCCGAAGTGATGGCTGGGAGCACTTGTACTTGTGATAACTTACGTTTCCTGAGTATCGGAGCCCCAGGACAGCCAATTAAGGAAGAAGAGGCAGTGGCTGCTGAGTTATATCACCATATGCTACTGCAATCAGGTGAATAACCATCTCTCTTCTTTTTCACTTCTAGTGCCTGAAGCAATATATGCAGCTTGCAATCCGAGAAGGCTGTGGGTCTCCCATCACTTGCCCTGATGTGGTGTGCCTGAACCATGGAACCCTGCAGGAAGCTGAGGTATGCATGAGTGCCACAGCCTTCCCCCTCTTTCCTGTAGATGCAGCCTACGAGGATCTTGACTCTGTAAGCACCTTGCTGCCTGAGGGGAACTTTTTAAAGCAGTTTTTTTTGCTGCTACATACCTTCGGATTCTTTATGCACAGTGTTAACGCGGCCTCTGACCTCAGTTCTATTTATATGTGCCAACTTGAGTGCCGAAGCAGATCTGGAATAGGCAAAGGTGCTAGCCATCTAACTGACCGTCTGTAATGTTAGGAGGTGCAATGGTGTATCGTCTTTAAAGAGAAGTAGACCACAGTTAGAAAAATGTCAACTGCTGTGACTCTACAGTGCTAGCCCGAGTTGAGCCATTTCCAAAGAGCAGAGAGGAAACCTTTCAGGCAATCCATGTCAGGCATCGGAAACATCTTTTTTGTTTGTTTTTCTGTTATTTTCTGAAGTCTGTGATTTATCTCTTCCTTTTGTTTGTTCAGTCCTTCATCGTTGACTTGCCCATAAATCTGCCTTTTAATCTTTGGATCTTGTTGGCTCTGAACCAGCCAATGACAAGCTTTTGTCCATTCTTACGGAGTTTGTGAGCTCCTGAGAGAGGTTCCAAGAAATCAATGGAATAAGTTACTCTTCAGCAAACACAGGACCAGCAGTAACCCCTCCAGTTGCTCTCATGGCCAGTGTACTGCTATCTAACGCTCTCAACAAAACTCATGAAATTGGGTTACTTCTCGGAGAGGAAATTGAGACCATGCAATTATGGGCAGAAAGAACTGGACCTCGCCTTCTCCATATGCACTTTCTGGTCATGTGTTTAACCCCTCCAGGCCTCGATGATGGTTCAAGTACTTGACTACCTGCCACCTATGTGCGAGAGAGCTGGGTGGAGTTCATAGTTTTTCATGTCTGCCTGACACAGCCTTGGCTGTTGCAGGCATTTGAGGAATAAACCTGTGGATGGAACTTAATTTTCTCTGTTGCTCTTCCTTTCAAATAAATAAATACACAGGTGTCTTTTTAAAAAGATGATGTGCTCCGGTTAGTTTTTTTTTTTTCGTAAGTTAAATTAATTGGGACCTGCACTGCAGCATAGCAGTTTAATCCACCTCTTGTAGTAGCCGCTTCCCAGCCACTTCTGGTCCTGGCTGATCCAGCTCTTTGCCAATGTCCTTGAGCTGTTGCACCTGCAGGGGAAACCTGGAAGAAGAAGCTCCTGGCTCCTGGTTTTGTTCTGGCCTAGCCTTGGCTATGGTAGCCATCTGGGGAATGAACGAACAGATGGAAGATCTCTCTCTCTCTCACTCTCTTTCTCTCTCTCTCTGTCCCTCCCCCCTCTCTGTAATTCCGTCTTCCAAGTAAAATATCTTTTAAAAAATTAATTAAAATGAAATAAAATTTAAAATTCAGGTTCTTAATTGTATTAACCAGTAACTTTCTAAAACATTATTTATTTGAAAGGCAGAGAGAGAGAGAAAAACTTAAAAAGGAAATAAGGGGAGAGAGAAAGAGGGTAGAAGGAAGAAAGGAGGAGGGAAGGAATATTATTATATTATTAGAATTGTATTTACAGGATGTATTGAATCTCTGAAAATCTAATTAAAATTAAAATAAAATGAATTAAAATCCTTAAAAAAAAAAAAAAGACATATGGCCATCTTCTATCCAATAGTTTAGTCTCAGGCTTTCAACCTAGCATTCCATCCAGGTCTCCCCATTGTTGGCGGTTATGTTGAGCCATCACCTACTGCCTCCCCGAGCATGCATTGGCAGGAAGCTGGATTGGAAGCGGAACTGGATTTCTAATCCAGGCAGTCTGATATGAGCTGTAGGTGTCTCTAATGGCACTCGTAATAACCATGCCACATCCCCACCCATTAACTGCTTTCAAATGTTCAACAACACATGTGGCTAACAGTTATGTGACTGGCTAGCACAGGACAGAACATTTGGCATGAATTCAGAAAGTTCAACTGGGTAGTATGGCTCTGGACTTTCCAGGAAATGGTACCCATCAGTCAGTGACACATGGGTGTGCAGTGTTGGGACTCGCATTTAGGCAAGTGGGCGTGTCTGGCTGTAGTTTACCTCTTGGTTTTCTAGGCCAGAATTTACCCTTTCTTATTTTCCTTGTGTTGTCGTTTTGTATTTGCCCTCTCCCACTGGGGAGGTGCTCCCATTCTCCTGCATCGGGTTCTGTTCATCCATTTTACTCTAAATGCAGTTTACTTTGCAGCTGTATTAAAACAAAATAAAACAAAACAAAAAAACCCAAAACACACACACACACAAACTACCACATTTTGGGGGCTGGTGTGGTGGTAAATCAGAGTAAGCCTCCACTTATGGTACTGATATCCCATGTTGACATTGGCTCAAGTGCCAGTTCCTTGACTTCTGATCTAGTTCCCTGCTTATGGTCTGGGAAAACAGCATAGGATGGCCCAAGGCCTTGGGCCTCCTGCACCCACATGGGAGACCTGGAAGAAGCTCCTGGCTCTTGGCTTTGGATCAGTCCAGCTCTGGTCATTGTAGCCATTTAGGGAATGAACCAGCAGGTAGGAGATCCACTCTCTCCATCTCTCCTCTCTTTGTAACTCCACCTTTGCATAAAAATAAATAAATTCTTTTTAAAAAAGTAAACTATCAAACTGTAAATATTTACTTAAATGAATTTATTTATTTGAAAAACAGTTATGTAGAAAGAGGGATAGAGAGAGATATCTTAGAAACAGAGATGTATCTTCTGCTGAGATGGCCATAACAGCCAGGGTTGGGGCCAGGCTGAAGCTGAGAGGCTGGAACTCTGTCCAAGTTCCCCACGTGGTGCAGGGGCCCAAACATGAAGGACATCCTCTCTCTCTTTCCCAGACACGTTAGCAGAGAGCTGGTTCAGAAGTAGAATAGCTAAGACCCAAATCATTGCTCATATGGGATAATGGTGTCATAGGCCCCACCCAACGATATTTTAAAAGCTTGAACAAGAGCTAGAGTTCTGTGTTGCAATGCAGTGAGTTAAGTCATGACCTACAAAATCCATGCATAGACGTTCTCAAAAAGTTCGTGGAGGGACCGGAATTGTGGGGTAGCATGTCAAGCTGCTGCCTGCCATACTGGATGTCCTGGCTGTCCCACTTCTGATTCAGTTCTCTGCTGTGTCTGAGAAAGCAGCAGAGGATGGCCCAGCTGCTTTGGGCCCCTGAACCTGTGTGGGAGACCTGGGGAAAGCTCCTAGCTTCTGGCTTCTAGCTTTGCCTAGATCCAGCTCCAGCCTTTGTACCCATTTGGGAAGTAAACCAGTTGGTGAAAGATCTCTTTCTCTGTTTTGTCTTCTCTCTGCAACTCCGCCTTTCAAATAAATAAATAAATCTGTAAAATTTACAGTATGAAAAAAGCTATGTATGGATTACCAAAAAAAAAATTTTTTTTTGTACCAAAATAAGCTTATCTTTTAGCTCCATTTTCCGTGAAAAAAAAATCATGATTTGTTTATTTGAAAAGTGTGTGGGGTCAGGGCTGAGAAAGCTGGAACTCCTTTGTCCATTAACCTCCTGAAATGGTCACAATGGCAAAGCCACGCTGAAGCCTGGAGCCAGGACCTTCATCCAGGTCACCCACGTGGATAGCCGAGACTCAAGGGTTGGAGCCATCATTTGTCATCTCCCAGATGCTTTTTCAAGGAGCTTCCCTGGAAAGTAAGAGCCAGACTTAAACTGGTGCTCACATAGGAGGCATGGGTTTCACTTGACTTTTGCACAAACTCTTTGAGATGCCTTTGTATGTAACTCCAGAATGTTGCAATATTGAGAATGTCCCAGTGGGGTTCATTCACATTGTGATGAACTAGATTCTATCTCCATGGCCATTTCTTCTTTCTGTTTCTTAAGAAATGATTATACTTCGTTAGCACTTCGTTCTTCTTTAAAAAAAGAACAATCGTTTGGGTTGGTTCCCTTTGTCTTGTAGCTATTTCTGTGACTCAAATACATCGAGTATGACATTTCTTCATCTTCTGAGAGTACCAGAATTCTTTCAGCTCTTTACTGGGTAGGTGCAGCTCACAAACTGGGCTCTACTGCCTGGTGTCTGCCTCTTCGGATCCTTCACAGTGGCTCAGCTGTAGTCTGCGTCTTAACTTCTCTGTATCACAAGAGCCTCCGTAGTGCCCAGTTCAAGTCCCGTTTGTGCTTGTGTTCAATGCAGCTCGTATCTCAGTGTCACGGCAGCAGGGGAGAGGTAGGCCTTGAGCTCACGTGGCTGGTGGTAAAGCCACATACACCTGTGACGAGCCCTTCACTGCATCATCTGGCCCTTTCAGCTGATGCACAGCGGGATTTTCCCAGGTCCTTCATCCAGGGACCTTGTCCAAGATGGCATTACAAAGGTAGGGCACAGATGGCATGTTCTAATAGCACTGCTTCAGGCCAGATCCTTGCATGAGGACTTCAAATTTGTTGAGAAAAGCAATGGCTAATTTAAGCAGTTCCTTACCTCTGGAAGTGGTGCCATCCTTCCTGGGAGAGCCTGAACCATGCATCTGGGCTGCATCAAGCTGGAGTAGCAAGCACTCAACCCCCTTGAATAGGGGCTGCCATTCCACAACCTGAAAAGCTGAACTTCTTCCAAATGCCAGCTGGCATCCATTGAGGCTCACCCACTGATCATCCCTCAGAGTCCAGGAGCACTGGATCAATCAGTCTGCCTTTTACTGCTAATGCTGTGCCGTGCACCAGGGCCAGCTGCTCCTGCCAAGAATTGGGGTTAAGCCACAGCCTATTATACCAATATCCCATATGTGTGCCAGTTCAAGTCCTGGTTGCTCTGCTTCTGATCTAGTTCCCTGCGAATCTGCCTGAGAAAATAGTGAAAGATAGGCCCAAATCCTTACTCCTTTCCACTCACTTGGGAGATCTGTAAGAAGTTACTGTCTTCTGGCTTTGGACCAGCCCAGATCCAACTGTTGCAGACATTTTGAGAATGTACCATGGATTGAAGATTTTCTCTCTCTC